CATACATACATACATACATACATACATACATACATACATACATACATACATACATACATACATGCAGACAGACAGACAGACAGAGAAATATAGTTCGAGATGGATAGCTGCGCTTCAGCCATCAGATTGCCTCTACTCGCCACTTTCTAGTCCTCGTTTATTCTCACCTGCTCCTCCAAGCCTTTGACTCGCTGCCGGTGGGCGCGTTCACGCAGCTGTACCGTCTTCTCGGTTTGACTGGCTGAGATCCGTTGACGTTCGAGCTCGGCTTCAGCGTCGAAACGATGACGTCCGCTGGTCTCGAGCAGCAGGGCAGTGTGAGACGGACCCTCCTGTTGCATTGACTGAAGATGAAAATAAAGCGAAAAATGAAGAAGAGCTCAGCTAACTGGCTGCTGTTGGTCAGTTTTGGAAAGACAGACAAAAATCAAAAGTAGGCCTGCAAGCTTGAGGGAAAAGTAACTGCGGTCAAAATGGTCAGGTAGAGTCTACACAAGGGACTTAGTTAACAGGTAAGAGAAGTGACTTAATCTCGTGTTGGCAACTTAGTCATGCTGTCATGGCGACCGAGATGAATGCGCTTTGTTCCAAGTCCTCTACCACAGTATTCACGATGATTTCTAGCGTCCATTTGTGTAGTTAGTAGATTCACAGACGTCATAGAGCTTAAACTTATCATCCAAGGACCAAAACTTGTCAGAGACAAATAAAATGTCAGGATGATAAAAATGAAAAGAAATTCAGTAATAAGAAAGATGACCAAAGTGGATATGCCTATCCTCTTATGAAATGAGCAAAAACCTGCTGCTGGCAGTAATAAAAAAGTGGAATGACTAAGTGATTACGTAGGAGAATACAACACTTTTTATTAGACTTCCGACACAGAAGTCTATTGGACAACATTCAGCACCAGTGAGCAGAAATAGATGAATAAAATTGGAAATAAAACCAAACTATGAATCAAGAGACAACAAAGACTCTTAAAAAAAAGGTACGGAAAGAGCGGAAATAGCATAATACATTTCAGAAACGGGACACAAAATCGACGGGAAGATTGTTCGCAAGATTAGAGAGGCAGTCGATGGCCAAACTGTAAGAAATCTAATGAATATTAGAATGGAAGAAGTCAGGACTAAAGAAAACTTAACGTATTGCTTGAGAAAATTTGGATGAGATCAGGAGGCATCAAGAGCAGCAGAAAAGAGACAACTAGATCAAGGAGGTAGTTCGAGCCAGAAGAAAAGGAATCACATGGAAGGGGCTATCGAGAGGCAATCAGAAATGAGAAGACGTTTAAAGTAAGTCAAGTCTAAGCATGGAGCAAAAGAGGTTAGGGAATAAGAAAATCAGAGATTTCGTATTATGAATAGAAGCATGAGGTGAATTCGAAAAATTTAAAAAGAGTGCCGAGTCTTGAGAAATGAGACCTTGGAGGACCGCTCGGTGAGTCGATGGTATACCTGGCATCAGACAGCTTGAGTAACACGGACTCGGTGGCAGTGTCTGAGGGAACTTAGGGAGCAAGGACGCTTATAGACGGACAATCTATGGCACGAGAAAGACTCAAATTGTAGATGGATGAATTGAATGACAGACTGAACACACCAAGTTGAATCAACATTTCCAGCAGTGGAGGGAGGGTGGGTGTGTGGTAAAAAAGGATATCTTCAAGAAATGTGATTTGGCTTCATCAAATTCCCTCAAAAGGTACATCTGAGGAGTAGGTCAAAATAAGCAAGTTAGCAGTTTTGTTAATAAAAAAGGACGACACGAGGAGTTAGGAAAGGTAACTGTGCCACGACAGAAAGTTGGACGAGGAATGGGCTGCATTTGTCTCTTTAACGAGTTGTAGTTTAGTATTAAGACTGACAATGGTCAATAAAAATGTCAGCGAAACTTCTGGGAATGCACCAAGTCCACGGTCTGACGCTGGAAATTGTCGTGAATAGTCATCTGAGCAGCTCTGACAATACGACCAAGTTGCGAGGACAAGGTGAAATCACTTTTCTACCGTGCAAGTAGACTGTGGCCACACCATCTTGGTATTTGCATCTTCAAGGGGAGCTATGCTCGATTATGTCTTATTAGTATCCGCAAGAGGATTGGAGACCAGGTCATGTGCGCCATGTGGGAACACTTTACCACTCCGCCGCACGTTCGTAAGTGCCAATGGATGCCAGGGCAGATGAGGCCTTCAAAACAAACTAGACCTCTTCCGACATGCATTGCTAATTTCTGTTACAATCAATGTTACTAGGAAATGCATGAGGGTTAGGCTTCGAATCACATTCAATCGGTATATTGTAATAACTACATAACGTTTTCTCACCTACTTCCAAATTCTGATTACTTATCATATTCTGTGTGCACCTACCTCTAACTTTTGTATGCTTCGGCGCAAGTCCATATTCTCCTCCTCCAAGCGGCGTGAGGTCTGTTCCAAATCTATGCGTTCTTTCTGTAGACGAGCCAGATTGTCGTTGAGGCGGGAGCGTTCCCTTTCGGCCTAGGCGTGTGGAATGAATGTTAAAGTGCAATGAAAAAGAAAAGTCCACTGGGAGAGAAATAGGAGAAATAGAACGAGAATAAAGCGAATAAGCAGTCGAAATAGCAGGCGAAAAAAAGAAGAAGAAGGAGGAGGAAAGCAAGGTAAAGGAAAAGGAGAAGTGGAAGAAGAAGGAGAAGGGCAGGAGAAAAAGAAGAGAAGAAAAGGAAGGAGGGGCAAGAGAGAAATGGAAGGAAAAAAAGAAAAATGAAAAGCAGAGAAAGAGGAAGGAGCAGTAAATAAATGTGAAAGAGAAATAAAACGAAAAGGAAAATAGTTAAAAGTAGAAGGGTAAGAAGAAGGGAAAGGATTAGAATTTGACGATGGAGAAGAGGGAGAAAAGGGGAGGATAAAAGGAGGCAAAAAAGGAGGAGAAGGAGTAGGAGGAAGGAAGAAGCAGGAGAAGTAAGAGGAAAAGAAAGATAGAAGGGAAAAGGAGAAGAAGAAAAGGAAGGTAAAGGAAAAGGAGAAGTAGGAGAAGTAGAAGAAGGAAAGGAGAAAAAAAGAGAAGAAGGGGAACGAGGAGCAAGAGAGGAATGGAAGTAATAGAAGGAAAAGGGAAAGCAGAGAAATCAGAGAAAGAGGAAGGAGCAGTAATTAAATGGGACAGAGCAATAAAACGAAAAGGAAAATGGTTTAAAGTAGAAGAGTAAGAAGAAGAAGGGAAATTAGCAGAAGTAGGCGATGGAGAAGAGGGAGAAAAGATGAAGATAAAAGGAGGTGAAAAAAAGAAGGGGCAGGAGAAGGGGCAGGAGAAGGAGCAGGAGGAAAGGAGAAGCAGGAGAAGAAAAAGGAAAAGAAAGATAGAAGGGAAAAGGAGAAGAAGGAAGGGAGGTAAAGGAAAAGGAGAAGTAGAAGAAGTAGTAAATGGGGAAGGAGAAAAAAATGGGAAGAAAATGAAGGAGGAGCAAGAGAGGAAGGGAAGGAAGAGAAGGAAAAGGAAAAGAAGAGAAAGAGGAAGGAGAAGTAAATAAATGTGAAAGAGCAATAAAACGAAAAGGAAAATGGTTTAAAATGGAAGAGTAAGAAGAAGAAGGGAAAGTAGCAGAAGTAGGGGATGGAGAAGAGGGAGAAAAGATGAAGATAAAAGGAGGCGAAAAAGGAGCATGAGTAAAGGAGAAGCAGGAGAAGAAATAGGACAAGAGAGATAGAAGAGAAAAGGAGGATGAGGAAAGGCTGTCTACCTTTTCGAAATTCTTTTTGCAGAGCGAGTGTTCCTTTTGAACACGACTGAGTTCTCGTTCCATCTCCTGCTTCTCAACTCCATGGTCCTTGAGACAGCGAGTCACGCCGCTCAGTTGCTCGGCCAGGCCACCTTTTTCGCCTGAAAATTGTCATGCATGCAAATGATGTTTATGATGGAAAGAAAAAAAAGAAAGTGAAAGTGAAAACAATTTTTGGAGCAACTGAGGATGGTGGTGGGTAATGCGATCTTTTTCGGGTAGCAAGCAAAACCTATCGAAGAAAAGTTAGGAAAAAGGCCAGCAGTCGATTGTATGGAGTACCGTGTCAAATATTTCGGTCCAATCGGAAGGGAACTTTGCGTTTTACAATTACGATACTCTTAGACTCTCCACACTTGGCTTACTGGATACAGAGTTGACTGTGTGGGAGATTTCCGTGAGATTCAGGCTCTCATCTTTCTCGATCCTCGACTTTGTTAGACGTTCCAGACAATAGCAGCAAAGCTTCCATCGAGGAAAATGCTCCAGGATCATTGTTAGGGGGACCTTCATTTCGAATGGAAGTGAGTTTCATCCGTCCTCATCTGGTGAGATCGACCGACGAATCTCTTCTTCATGCACTTTCATTCGAAATGAAGGTCCTCCTAACAATGTTATCTCAGGAGATTCATCGAAACCAATTTTCTCTTCGTATCCATGATCATTGTAGAGCGAAGCTTTTCCATTGCTTCAGATGAATACAGAAGCTGCGCCGAAGGACTTCCAAAATTATTCCGGCTGGTCAAAGGAATACTCTGAACTGTTAATCCAAAGAGAGAGGTTGTAAAGCAAGAAATGAGTATGAATTTGGTCACCCTGTTATAAACTGAAGGGTAGGTGGTGGTACAGAAATGTTATTTAATGGCATTGAAGGCGACAGCAACCATGGTAACAGGTACATGTGAAAGACCGACTAGACTGGACGCCGTATCGTTAAGCCCACTTCCGATAAATCGATTTATGTTTTACTTAGCTTCTTATAGACAACCTTCCTCGATTTCATACGTCATCTCAGAACAACATCGCCAACAGTGCAGGCTATCATCATTCTGACAGCCATATTGAAGCGAACTAATCAGCAAAATGTATCGGCTCATCCATAAATTATGTATACATAGCCTAAATTCACGCAAGACATGTGTCAATCTAGAGGCGTGTATATGTGTCTGTTTGGCTGTGCTCATGTGTACGTCTATGCACGAGGCCAACAGTAATAGCTGAAAGCAATTTGAGCAGAACGATACATCTTTCCTCGGTCGTCAAGGTTGAATTAACACTACCATCACCACCTCCAAAGCCCATTAACAAAAGCCATATCACAACCACCACCAATCTCACCAAAAGCGACACTAACACCACCACAACCACCACCAACACGGCAGTCATCACACAGGCCAACACAAACGCCAACGCCACTATCCGCGCAGACACCAGCAAAAGTATCATCACCATTGTCACCACCATTATCATCGTCCATATCGGCGCTGCCAACAACGCCATCGCAAGTAAATGCACAAACAGCATCACCAACATCAACAACAACATCACTAGCACCAGCGACTGTCAGGCATTGCTCGAATCTCATTCTTTCTTCATACAGCCGCGATTTGTCAATGTATAATCCCACAGGCGAGAGGCGCTTCGCTACACCGGCCTAAGCCTCAAATCAATCGCTGGGAACATTGTTCCATTGTGGCATACGACGAACCCCCTGTCCGCCATTACGGACGACCTGTACCACTCGTCAAAGGTGGCCGCTGTCGGCATGCTGCCGATTTGGTAGCCTAGACCGACAGGTCGCCGGTCCTCAGGAAACTTCCGGCGCCCGTCTGCGGTACCGATGCTGCCCGATGAATCGTGGATCTTTGACTAGCCAGCGACTCATCCCAAAACCCCATTTCACACGAGGTTACGCCTGACAGTCGAATTCGTGCAAAGGCAAGCCCGCATTGCTCCAACACGTTGCCCCTCTCGGGCGCCTTAAGTAACGCGGGAGACGAGAGTTTAACTGGCCTGGGTGGCATGAGAACTCGGAATATGCTTTAAGCTCGAGTCCCGCCTGTCAGGCAGAACCACGCGACCGCTCGGCCACAAATGCTTTGGTTGCTATGGCATCATGAGACGGAAATGACACTCTCACACTTGCTATTGAACCTCAAATTTGTCATTAAACTATGCAATATTATTACAAGTAACATCAGTAGTATAGGAGAGAAAGTCTTTAGGACTATAAATAAGAATGAGAGTGTAATGAGATGTATTCACCCTAATTTGTTTAAGGTGATGAAGGACTGGTAGAAGATGAATTTTCTTATAATGATATGAGTTGAGCTGACGTTTCCATTGAATTTCACATAACCTTTCCCAAAAGTTGTTCTCATCCTGAGTGGACTGCAGTTTCGACCTCGCATCGGTCTTATCAACACCCT